TGTATTCATGTATTTAAGAACATATATAACACCAATAAATGTCAGTGTAGCTTATAAGATCATTATAATTACGCTTTTCTGTCGCTGTCATTGTCAGTAGGTCTAAATACCAAGTAGATTGGATGTTTTAGGGAACTGCTCACAGATGCAAACATTTGATCATGGACCCTTTTTGTCTCAGTAAAACTACATCTGTTTCTCCTGTATGTATCAGGAGCTGATTTTCTTTATACATGTATTAATCACGTTGCTTTTGAGTGTAGAAAACCTAACCTCTGACAACCAGCCAGAGGTAGAATTCTTACCTGATAGGCTTTGTCTCCATGGGTAGGAGTCATAATCAGTGCACCTGTAGTCATTCACAGGGAACAGATTTCCTCTTCTGATTTGCCATTGTATGTACTTGAACTCCTGCTCTTGTAGAAATGGAACATAACTCTTGTGAAATGCAAAATATCTGTCCTTAAGTGCAGATGAACTTTTATTCTTTCTTCCTCCCCACACCTCCAATTTCACCCACTCTTTGTGAAGATTTAGGATGGCCAAAAATTCTTGTAACCAATTAGTATATTACCCAGTATTTTCAGGTATTCCTTACCACTTAATGTCTTTGAATAACATCTGAGTTCAAGATAAGAGCAAACACTTGCATGTATTTTATGTTAGTGCTGAGAGATGATAATGAATCTACTGTAATCCATGCTCTGATTATGTATTTATATGCATATTCACCGCTTGTTTATCTATAAAGATTGCTGGAAGGAAAACTATTAAATGAGACAGTTGTGTCTTTTCTGCATAGATATTTTACAAGTAAAACTGGTGATAAGTAGGAGATGCAGCAGAGGCTTTGATTTCTACAGTGTTATGGCTAGCTATACTTCCCAGGCAGTTGCAGGTTAACACTTGCATTGTATAAACCCTCAGTTTTCAGATTTTAATTTTATGAAAGACAATCTTTCTATATATTTATTAAATACATGTTTCTAGGTGTGTGTCTATTTGCATTCATATGTATTTCTTGAAAAAATTGAATACTATGATGCTACAGAATGCTAAAACTGGTTATTTCATGTCTCTGGGAAGCAGTACATACTGAGCAAAAGTAATCAAATAATTTCTCTTCCTCTGCTTTCACAACATGATGGTTGACTAAATTGTTAATGATTTTGTAATGAAGTTCCACCAGGAGATAGGAGAGATACTACCAACTATAAACATGTTGTGTGTGCAAGAAAACAGTACCGATAAGCTGCCATTGCATAGACTCACTGGCTGCTTGCTTGCTCAGAAATTACTCTGCTGTGGCTGTAAAAACTACATGGAGTTTATGCTGAGTTTATGTATGTGATGTCATTCTGTTTATTTCATTATTCAAAGCATTTTCCTAGACTAGCATAAAATCTTACTGGACTGACTTAGCCATTCTTTATATTGTCAAGAAAATCACAGTTCTATCACAGAGTGATTTGTCCGCTTTGGCCTAGGTTTTGGAAGTTGGCCTTGTGTGTGCAGATCGAACAAGAGTTTACCATAATTTGAAGCACTTCAAATTCAAGTTGTACCTGCATTGCAGCTCCATTACCAAGTTGGATGGTTTGGAAGATGAACCAGTCAAAGACACAGTAGAACGTCTTCTCACCCAGTTGGAAGACAGTGGGTGGATTCAGAAGGTACGACTGAGTTCTTTGATGTATCCTTTTCCAAGTAGATAAAAGCAAGCTGAGATAAAATGCCTGATTTAATTGATCAGTTCTGAATTACAGGGTTTCAGTAATACAACTCAGCTTAACCATTCATCCACTTCTGCTGACCCTGTCTCTCTCACAGTGGCATGCTGCTGTGCTCACGCAGAGTTTGTGTCAGCTTGTGACATGAGGCTTTCTGACAGCTGCATGATCTCTGGGCTGTGGTGGGCAGGCTCCCATTTCATGTGGCAGCAGCAACACCACAAACTCAAGCTGTAAGTTAGAAGCATTGGGAACGCATATATGAGGCACAGCAAGACTATTTTACTCTTCTGTTTAGGCTGAAATACTTTGAATTATTCAGAAACACTTTATGAACTATTTTAAGACAACATGTAGTACAGTTGTATTTAGCAAGCTTTCAGATATCATTACGTCTGAATTGTTGGCATGCTTGTTAATGTATTGAAGAACAAGAAGCAGTCTTTATGTAATTCACTTATGAAACATTGATAAAATAATAAGTTTTTATTTTATTTGCAGAGATACAGTGATCTTGAAGACTGCATGAATGATGCAGACAGTTTCCAAGAAGAGAGAATAGATTAAGTGGTCACAGCATTCTGAAAGACATCTATAAAAAAATTGAATGACCTGCTTTATGTGTATGCACTTTATCTCTGTTTGGTCTTCAAGATTCTTTCTAGGCTGTTATGTTTAAATCCATATGCCATTAACCAACTGTTTGAGAATTTGCTGTAGTTTTTTGTCTTATTTGCATCAATAATAACCCAAAGTTTTATCAAATCAGTCCCTTAAGCCTTACTGCATAGGTCACTATAGGCTTCCTTCTGTTCTTAAAAATAACATCTCAATATCTGTTTACTTATGAAATAAAACTTCTACCTATTTATATTGAGCTGCATCTTAGGAAAGGTAGGAGATCATAGAATCACAAAATAGTTAGGGTTGGAAAGGACCTTAGGATCATCTAGTTCCAACCCCCTGCCATGGGCAGAGACACCTCAAGCTAGACCGTGTCACCCAAGGCTCTGTCCAACCTGGCCTTGAACACCGCCAGGGATGGAGCATTCACAGCTTCCCTGGACAACCTATTCCAGTGCCTCACCACCCTCACAGTAAAGAACTTCTTCCTTAAATCCAATCTAAACTTCCTCTGTTTAAATGTTAACCCATTACCCCTTGTTCCTCACTACAGTCCCTAATGAAGAGTCCCTCCCCAGCATCCTTATAGGCCCCCTTCGATACTGGAAGGCTGCTATGAGGTCTCCACGCAGCCTTCTCTTCTCCAGGCTGAACAGTCTCAACTTTCTCAGCTGGTCTACATACTGGAGGTGCTCCAGCCGCCTGATTGACCTCGTGGCCCCCTCTGTACCTATTCCAACAGTTCCATGTCCTTTTTATGTTGAGGACACCAGAACTGTGCACAATACTCCAACTGAGGTCACTCCAGCGTCCTGGTAGGCCCCTTTCAGATATTGGAAATGCTGAGACCTTCTGAAGAAGGTACATTTGGAAATGGAAGGCTGCATTATGCGAGAACGTATGGCTTGCATCTACCTTCCTTGTTGCTCGTTATCTGCAAGTCCAACCACTTAGAATGGTAGTTACAATAAACAGGACCCAAATGCAAGGATCTGTTTCCCCTCTGAGGAGTCAGTATAGACTGTTCCAAGGCAACAGAGGAAATATTCTGCAGTCCCGACTCCATTTGCAGCACAGCAGTCATCCTCTCTTTAGAGAGTAGGTGATGAGTCACATTATAGGCGTCACACAGACTGAGTCTGGCTTAGCCTCTAAATGAACACTTGGGCCCACATTGCTGCCTCTGATAAGCAGCTGGGGCAATTTACTGAGATTTTAAACATCAAATTACATTGTGCAAACTTCATGGCAACAACGTGCTGTAACTAAAAAATTAAAGAGAATGAATTAATGTGGCCATGCAAGATAAGGTTTTTTCCAGGATAGCTTAGTAGAAAATAGGAGTTACTCAGAAACATGATGCATGGCTTAACTGGATCACATGAAGCCCAAATCAGACTTTTGGGGGGCCAAGGGAATAGATTTTTGGGGATTTGGGAAAGGTCAAGTACTGTATTGTCCAATTTAAAAGCTGGACGTGACCCGGCAGTGTGCACTTGCAGTCCAGAAAGCCAACTGGATCCTGGGCTGCATCCAAAGGAGTGTGGCCAACAGGTTGAGGGAAGTGGTTCTCCCCCTCTACTGAGCTCTCATGAGACCCCACCTGCAGTCCTGTGATCAGCTCCAAAGTCCCTAGTATAAGACGTGTTCTTTCAACAAGTTACTCTCTCAGAAGCAAAGAAATTGAAACCTTATTTCTCATGGATTTGTCCAGACAAAATTGCTGCATTCACTCTGCCCGTCTACTGGTAACAGATACACTGATTTGCCAGGCAATGGTGAACATCTGCTGCATTTTACCATAGAAACTGTACCTTTGATTTGTTGTTCAGTGCCCTTCTTCCAGCATTCACTGTAAGAAATGAACTGCTCTTATATTTTAGCAGTTCAAATGCAGCAATGGTTTGTGTGCTGTTAGTGTGAGTGGCTATCATCGGTTCTCCCTTGCCCCCATACAGATACAAGATTTATAAAACTGAGATAAAAAATCCCAGTAAATAGGAGGCCTACTATTAAGTAAACTTATGTTGCAGATATTATTTCCATACCTGAACTGTAAGATACATAAATATTCTGAGATTTGATATATCTTGTACCTATCTCCCTAGTTACCAAAGCAAGTGCTCAGGAATCCATCTCAAATATATCCCTTTTAGGAAAGGTAATGTCCCTTGATGCCCCACTTCCTTCTGTTAAGAAAAGCTCTGTACACTTTTGTTGACTTCTTTAGAATAATAAAATAAGATTCATGTTTGGTGTAACTTCATTCTTACCAAGGAACACTGTTCTGAACTAAGTGAGTACAAAATGGAGTGTGGCCCCTCAGAGCCTTCCTGACTGATCTTAATTTCTGCTGCCTTTGGAATTTTCTGGAAACTTTCATGATTTTTATTTAAAATCTTTGCTGTCAAAATGGTTAATTTCTCATTTGCCACATTTGAACTGTTTGCTGACAAGTTACAAAATAAGTTTGTGAAAATTCGGCTATTTCAAGACTACATACATTGTGATCAAAAAGAAAATTGCTGCATTGTTCCAGTGATTAGTTTTACTCATCTTTTGATACCTACTGCACCCCAGATCCCGTTTATCACCTCCTCTTCATTAACCTAAAAGGTGTGAGCTCTCAACTTCTTGTTCCTGCAGGCATTTTGTTCCAGATCTGGGGTTTGTTTTAAGAGGGATGTAAAAAATATGCTGCTGAGCTTCTTGGAAGAAAGCACCTCCATCAGTGTATAAATCTTGTCTGTGGCATCACCAGTTGGACTAAGACCGTGCCTCAAATCAACATCACTGATTCCTATTTCATTAGGAAACCAATACTCGATTTGGCTTGGCAGGGGCTGACACAGTGTTTGTGTAGTCTTTCTTCAGCTTTGATATTGCCCTCACTGAGTGTCATGGTTTAAGGAAGTACTTTATGGTTGTTTTTTTACCTGAAGGGTTTCTGCAAGACAGAGACTGAAACACCATAACACCACATTTACATTTGTCTTCACCACAGGAAACAAAAAGATTGCTTAGAAGAACCATACATATAAAACTGCAGATCCAGTTTTCCAGGACAGGCTGTAAATGGTGGTTATACAGCACGCAGTGCAAAGGGGGCTATTACCCCTATAGAGTGTCTCTATATAGAAGTACTCAATATTTCTGGTAGAAAAAAATCTGTGGCTTTCCAATGATGGAAGAAGTCAGAAATCTGACTGGTCCTTCATACTTCCTTTTCCACACTAGAGAATTTGATGGAGTTAGGGGGTGAGAGAACATAACGTTTGTTCTGCTAGGCCATTTTTAATTGTCTTTAGTGTTAATTTTTGAAGTAGTAGTTCTAATTAAGATAAAGTACCTGTCTTAATGGAACAATGAAGAGAGCTCAGTAGGTGATTAGGCTTGGCAGGGGTGATTAATGGTCATACTTGGAAATTACTTTTGTTCCTGCAATGTTTCGATAACCTGCTCTAGTTGAAGTTCTGTAACCGGAGACTACTGTTAATGGTAAAGTTCACATGAGGTATTTACGCAGAGGATCAGGGTTACTAACGTGATATACTCCTGGGAGAGAAGGCTCTTCTCGGTCTATGTTCTGTATCCAGTTCTTCTAGTAAAATAGGAAAAGTTTTCACTGTGTCTATCAGTTTGGGGAAAGAAAGTCTTTGTGGATCAATAGCAGATAGCTGTTACTGACAGTGAAGTCATTGCCTGTTTCCCAAAGCAGCGTTTCTAGCAGTTTGTCAGGCAATTGCAGGCAATTCCCATGCTTACCTCCTCTAGTTTGCTTTTATTTGGATACAGGGAGACCTGTATTTTTCTCCTTTTTTAAGTCTGAATAAACAGAGTGGGTGTGTTAGATAAACATGTGTAAATACAATACCAGTCCAGTGCACACAAAACAGGCTTCATAAAGTTGACTTTCTGATTCTCCTTTGAGAAAGAAGGAGTACCAATTCCTAATCTCTGTTTAGAGGTTATACAGAAAGAATGTAAGAAAGTATGATTTACCAGCCAAGGGAATAATGTGAGAAATATGTGAAATGGTATTGAAAGAACCTGATAATAACCCCCCAGTGGCTCCACTGCCCTCAATTTTGGTATTTTTCTAGGTAAAAAGTGATGGTATGGGGTCATTTAGGTTATTTTTCCCTGTTTATTAAATAGGATGTAGACACAGTTTCTTTAGATTGCTCCAGGGATTATATTCTTAATTAAAAAACTCGTGTGGGTGTATGTGTGTAAAACAAGCCATTAGATTACTTATTTCACAGTTTAAACAGAGCAATAATTGCATGCACCTTGTGCCCAAAACTTAAGGACAAGAAAGCTTACTCAGGTGTAGTCAGACAGTCAGGCTCTGCCTCAAGGTTAAACAGGTCACCAGGGGAGCTGCCTGGCAGGTGAGCCTGCCTGGCTGGGAATACCCCAGGAAATACACATACGTGTAACTGCAGTTGCTCGAAAGGGCCAAGAACCTGTGCAGAAAGGCATATAATGGATGTGGCTGAAACTGTAAAGGTCCAGTTTCCAAAATCCTCCATAGGACTGATTAAGTATGTGCCGTTCTGGTGGAGCTGATACAACTTGGAAACGATTTGAAACACAGATGAAGAGGTGTATGTATACCTCGGTTGGAGCACATACTCAAGTTCTTAAGCAACGCTGGTTCATCACAGTCTCTTTGTTTTGGGAAGTTATTAGCACAACGGGATGTCTATGGTGAGAATTCCCGGCTGTGAACCCAGCACAAGTGTGTTGCTGCTCTGGAAGGGGCTGCCGATGAGGGGAACTCAGATCTTCCACTGCAATAGGGGATTCACACAGAGAAAATGCTCAAGCATGACAGCTTGTGTGAGGGTGCAATGTTATGTAAGTGGTCACAAATCAGTGAAGGAAAAAGTAATTAATTATTCAGGACCTGTTACATTAATGTTTTATCACGTGTATTAGGAAGCCTACGATGTGAATTGCGAGTGTTGTTAAAATAATGTTAAGAACTGCGTTTAAGAAAACTGACAACAAGCCAATCCAAACGTGACAGCGGTGTCCAGGGCTGGGGACATTCACCAGGGTCTCCTGGGCAAAACCTGAAGAGCTGAAAGACGGATTTGGGGCATTTCCTCCTCGGGAACACCAGGGGCAGCATTTGCTGCGTATGGAGCCACCGCCGGGACTTGCAGCGCTGCCCTGCAACCAGCTGCCTCTCGCCTGAAAGGGCCGTATCAAACCACACAGCAAATGAGATGCTGCTTGGCAGAAAGTGCATCCTAAACCTCTGGAGTTAAAATACAAACATCTTCGTTTCGAAAGATCATTCTCTGAGCTCTCCAAATTCATGTCAGAAAGGGAGAACTCCCACAGGTACCCTGGTACCTTCTGGAGCAGCACCACTGGTTTAGTATTGAAACATCCACTTTGAAGACCCCAGCCCAGATTTTGATTGAAACACCCTACCTTCTTCTTCCTGAGATGCGTGTGTTATTGTTACACGTGTACTCTGTGACTGACCCTCCTAAACACAGCACTGACATCTGAGCTGTAAAGAGTGAATAAAAGCCCTAGCGAGGCCTGAAGCAAAGGTAACATTGCCCATTATTTTACAAACATTAAAATTTCATTTTATTTTCCACCTGTGCCAGCCCATTGTTCTCAACAGATGCACAGTGCTGTTGTCTATCAAATAATAACCCTCTTTTCCTCAGTTGCTCAAGGCTGGACAAAAAAATCCCCTTTTTCTTCCTCTGAAGGTAGCACATCCACGAGCCTGGCTTCCCCACACCTTGTCCCAGAAAAGAATCCAAGTCTTTGCTGGGGTAAATCTGAATGTGCTGGAGGTTCTAGCTGGTCCCCACAGAGCCAGATTCTGGAGACTCACATGGATGTTTGTTCCCACATGAAGGAGACTGGGGTCATGGAAGGGCTTTTGCACTTCCTATATATCCAGTGCTGCAGATCTTCTATGTATTTTGGGGGCAATCTCCAGGAATGTATTATTTCGTCATTGGCATTCAAAGTATTTATGTGCATGACCTTGGAAAGGGATAAAACCACCTGAGAGGGTTATCGCTAGTTCCTCCTCACCCACAACTTAATGCTCCTGGTATGATGTGATGAAATTAGTGTTTTTCTGACTGGCCCCACAGCAGCACTAAATGAGATGATGCCCCCTGAAAGGTTTTCCATCGGGGCTGTGTCTCTGCATGCTTGGGGGGGGGGCCATTTTTCTTCCCAGGTAGATATTAGGGAATTCGGGAGTTACAGCCACAGCAGCATGACAGCGTCTTGCTTTAATACAGCCGACCAGCTCCCAGCTATTCCTGCCGCCTCCCTCGCAGCTCACCTCTAACACCCCTCCGGCCGCCCGTCGCAGCAAGGCCAGTTTCGGGGACCCGGTCTCGCAGCAGCGGCCACCCCTGCTCTGCCCGGAGGGCTCGTTCAGGACAAGCGCACGGCCGGGGCTGTGCGGGAGCAGCTCCGGACCCGCTGTCCGCAGCTCCCGCGTCCCGGGGCCGTCCCGTGCGTGCGAGCGCTCGGGGAGGCACCGCTTGTTTTTCTACCGCCTGTTCCAGAGGAATCCAGCCGGTCGGGGAGCGCAGCGCCGCGATAGATTCGAGGGCTTGCTCCTTCGCACTCGCTCGCCCGAAGGTCTCGCCGCCCGGAGGGAGGAGGGAGAGCGGGAGGCTGCGCTCCGCGGCGGCGGCTCAGCGCACCCAGGTACAGAGCGAGGAGGGGAAAGGGGATTTCCTTGGCTTCCTCCCATGCAAATACCTCCCGGGGAGCGGCGGCGGCAGCGGCCCGACTCCCCTCCGCGGCCGCTGGGAGGCTCCGCGCCTCGCCCCGGCCTCTCCGCCGCCGGTGACACCCGCCCCCCGCCTCCGCGCACCGCGGACCCGCTCCGCTCCGCGCCGCACCGCGCCGAGGGGCAGCCCGGGCAGGCGGCAGCGGGCGGCGGCAGAGGAGGCAGCGCCGATAGCGCACCGGCGAGCAGCCGCCCCAGCGGGTCGGGGATGGAACGTACAAAAACACAAAGGAAAAGTGGCCGGACGGTTCTGGGTGCAAAGTGCTGGAAGTTTGTAAGTGCAACTCTGCGTTTGTAATTACGGTCTGAAGAGGGGCTGGCTTTTTAGCTTGTTTCCCCCCCCCCCCCCTTTCCTGAAACTGTACTTGAAACTATTCAATATCTGGGAGTATAAGGGAAAGTACGCGAGAGGAGTTCTTTGCCTGGGTTCGTAGCTTGCTGCTTTTATTACTAAGGGGGGAAATAAGCGCTGAAAGCAGTACGGATTTTATCCAGTGGCTGGATTAACTGCAGGCGAAGCGTGGTCTGGAAGTCCACTGACTGACATTGTTCCGGACCGGGGGATCCGTCTCTCTTATTTTTAGAGGAACTACAGTTTAGCGGCAGACAGTTGGACACGGTGATAAACCGAAGAGTGGCCAGCAAAGAGCGGGCGAGAGAAACGAGAAAGCACAAAGACTAAACTAACGCGAGCCGCCTCCACCTCCTTCCCCGGCTCTTTATTTGCATATTTACTAAAGACTTTAGGAAAAAGAAATAAATAGAGAAAAAAGAACCCACCAACACCCCCCACTCCACCAAATCGGGATTTTCGGGCCGCCGGGGGTTCCTCCGTGCCGCCGAGCACGCCCATGCCTTAAATTTCCACTTCAAGGAATAAGCCCCCCGCTCCCCTGAAATGAAATAAAACCAATAAACCTGCCAAGTCTCACTCATTCCCGAGGGAGATCTCCTTCGCACAGGGATTCATTTCGGAGGCAGCGGCTCGCTTTATCTTTTTTCCGCCCTCCTTTCCCCGGCGGATCCCCCCCGTATCCCCCTCCCCGGACGTCCCCCGACCCGCTGTCCCCAGTCCGGCCGATGCTGGCCCGACCCTAACGATCCCCCCCCCTTTGCCCCGTCCTCCCGCTCTCCCCGATCTGTCAGCCCCCCGCGGGGCCGTCACCGCCCGGGGGCCGGGTCGGGGTGGGCCGGGGGCGCGGGGCTGACCGCCCTCCGCCCCGCCGCCAGCCCCCGGCTCGGGCTCCCGCCGCTGCCCCCGCCTCTCCCCCCCTCCCTCCTCCGCCTATCTCCATGCGGCAGTGAGCACCGACCCATCCGGAGGGCCAGGACCGGCAGGCAGCGATGGGCGACACGGCTCCCCCCCAGGCCGCGGGGCTGGCGGCCGGGCTGCTGGGGGGGGGCCCGGCGGCGCCCCGTGTGCACAGCGCCATCGTGGAGCGGCTGCGGGCCCGCATCGCCGTGTGCCGCCAGCACCACCTCAGCTGCGAGGGGCGCTACGAGCGGGGCCGCGCCGAGAGCTCCGACCGCGAGCGGGAGAGCACCTTGCAGCTCCTCCACCTCGTGCAGCAGGGGCAGGGCGCCCGCAAGGCCGGCAAGCACCACAAGGCGCCCGCCACCGCCGCCGCAGGACCGGGCACCGCAGCGGCCACCGGCGCCGCGCCGCCGGACTACCACCAGCACCTCCTCAGCAACGGCGGCATCAACGGCGAGCAGCCGGCGGGGGAGCAGCGCGCCTCGGCACTCCTGGCGGTGAGTCACAGCGCCCCCTGCCCGCGGGGAGGGGCTGCACGCGTGCCGGCAGGGAGAAGCCCCCCCCCCCGTCCCCGGGATCCCTTCGGGGCACCCGGCCCCGCAGCCATCCCTCGGGTGAGGCGCGAAGGTGGGGCCGGCTCCGAGGCCTGTCCCCACCCGAGGGCGGTCCTGGAGGGGTGTCCGTGTCCGGCCCGGCCCGGCCCGCTGTGCCTCATGCCCCCTGTGTTGGTCCCTGCCAGGCGGTGGGCCCTGCTGTGGCATGGAGGGTGTGAGGAGCAGAGGGCAGGTCTAGCGGCCCGGAGCAGGGCAGCTGAGGCATGTGTCTTCCCTCAAAGCCATTCTGGGACTTCTGGGCTTGTTTTTTTTTTGTCTTTGAAGCAGTCTGTGGTCCTAAAAACGTGTTGTGTGCCCCTGTCATCACCCTATGAGGCGGTGACAGCAGGCGTCCCCGAGGAGGGGCACTGGTGGTAAGCTCATAGCACATCCCCAAGCAGGGGTGAGAAGTAGTGCTAAGGATTCATTCATGCAAAGATCTGCCCCCCCGTCTCATATTACCCCATCCAGTAGCGGCTTCAGACAGTGATTGCCACTCTAGGCAGCAGTTTGTTGCCGCATCCCTCAACCTTGGCCGGTTTATATGCATGAGACAGATGGGCAGCGCTGAGAAGCCAGAGCCAGTGTTCAGCTGTGTCCAGCCGGTGCTTGCAGGCGGCTCACAGGGATGTCCCCCTGAGCTGGCCACCTCCAGAAAGGGCCAGGTTGTTGTTACCACCGTGCGTGTTCCGCAGAGCAGCGTTACATGAGTTCTCCAGGCACCGCCGCGTTGTAAGTGGCAGGTTGGACCTTGTTCAACTGGAAATCGCTCTGAACAGATCAAGGAGGCGAAGCTTTGTCTCCTGTTACTTTGTTACGAGCAGTCCATGTACCTTGCTTTTGAAGGCGTGTGCTGCACGGTGCTGCCTTCCAACCCCGAACTCTCGGCACACATGTGAAATATTAAGAGCGACTGCACCCTGATAGGCCCGTGCCTGCTGTTGGAACGGCTGAAAATAGATCTCTCCCTCCGCTCCAGACATCAAACTTACCCTTCTCAGTGCCTGACGTGTGCTAAAAGGGGACCTTTGTGGTTGTTTCTCCTTTCTTCCCTGGGAGCAAGCTGTGGTGCGTGGATCGACGCTGGGGGCTGCGTTGCTCAGCATCATTCGTGAGGGTGATGATGTAAGCGTGAACGCGATAACATTGTGTCCAAAGGGAGTTTAGGAGATTCGACCCGACTCAGTGCTCAGATTAAATCTCCCCACGTTCCTTGTCACAGTCAAGAAAGCCATTATCTTATTTTTCCAGTGTGTATTGATGAAATGCTTTGCACTTGTCATGTGGGGAGAAAAAGGCCTTTTGCCTAATAATGTATGTCCCAGAAAAAATCCACTTTCTGAAATCAGGGAGCAGGCTGATGTGGTTTGTTTTGGTTTGGGTTTTTTTTATTTCACTTGGTTTACTAGTTGTTACTATTACCATGAGATAGCTGGAGGCAGCTGTTTGACAGTGCTAAATGAAACAGCTCCAAAGGAAATACTGCAAGATTTTCATCTTTGAAATTCAGAGAAGTTGTCCTTGTTTCTGGAACACCACTTGTGATTGTTGCCCACCTCTCTGCTGGACAACACCATGTAGGACCCTCACCCCTCATTGCAAGATGTGTTACCTCTCAGGTAACTCCCCGCAGTGTGTGCCTTTGACAAGAGAAAGGTCTGACAAAGTCTCCCCCAGTTTTGCATGCTAGTGTTCAGTAATCCTGCTGACAAGGTACGTGACTTCACTGAGCATGACATTTGGGGCCCTGAACCGTGTTTTGACACTGAAGAAATGCTGGCTCATGAAGCAGTATTGTTGTAATTGTATCACTGCACATCACTGATCCTCCCACTCTGTGCTTGACACAGCCATTCCTCATTTGCTGCTCTGGTAGGACTGCCTAATTAAGGAGCTTAGAAAAGCATGGGTTCAAAGTCACGTCTCTGTGTCACAGAGGAACATGTTCCCATCACCAAGAGCTCCTTAGGATATTGTTGTGAATACTGAAAAGGACATGCAAACCGCGGTGTCTACGATGAGTTCAAGTGATGGAGGGTCATACCCCAGGTAGTGCACCACTATTCCTGTACTTGAAAATTCAGAGGGCAGGGACGGGCCAGGAAATTGCCAGGTCTTGGTTTTGCTCCAGCCATAGAAGAAGGAGAATTTTGCTCTACCAGTTATTCCAGGGGTGCTTGAACAAGAGGAAGGACAAGGTGGACTGAGCCTGTTGTCCTGTGTGTTATAAATAGATGGAGAAGAGAACGATCTTAAGCAGAATTCATCCCCTATGGGGTGTTTCCCAAGAGGAAATCCAGTAGAAGCTTTATATGCACTGTTCCTCTAATCCTAGACTTTTCTGTAGAACAGACAGCAGGTCTGGGGTGTGCAGGGTACTGGAACAAGGGGCACCTCTAAGCTTCAGTTATGGCAAGTGCAGCTCCAGCACGGGGAAGCACAAGAGGAGTGTTTGTGAGTCTCACATTGAGCGTGTGAGGTTGGACACACATCTCTGACTCCGTGGTGGGATTGCAAAACTCCACCTGCCTTGCTGTGGGTCCACCAGTTAAAAAAGGCCACTCAGATAAGTACAAAGGCAGCCATAACTCTTTGGGGAGTTCTGGCTATCAGGACACTGTCTGCAAAACCAAGATTATCCCCACGCTTCCTCTCCTGAAAATAGCTGGGTTGTTTCTTTAGCTCTGCAGGTCCCCCTGCTCTTGTTGCACGTGTGCCTGTCATATTTAGTGGCATTGGATGGGTCGTTTACACAGTTGTACTCAAGAGTAAATATTTGACACTTGATAACATTTGAAACAATGTTCACTTGAACATATCAAAGAGCTTGAAGTGATTATCTAGTTGTTGATACTATTAGTTGATAATGATCTTTTCCCAGTGGACAGTTTAAAACTGGCAGAAGAGAGAGTTTTTAGTGGGGTTTGGTTTAGGCTTAAATTGGCAGCGTTACTTTGATTTTTGAGAAGGCATCTTTGGCAGCAGCATGTTCTAATTGGGGAGTGGAGACCAGATTTTTTAGGACCAATGGATGTGGCTACATGTAAAGGAGAAATTTATTCTCCAGGACATGACTAGGAAAGCTTTAGTACTTTCTGCCTCCCTGCATTTCCCAAGAGCTGACATTTGTTTATTTATATGGTGGTGTTACTTTTCATGGTGCAGAGTGGAGCAGATAAAATATTCTGTCTTTCTTTTATACATACATCTCTATGTATGTATATGTCCTCCAGCACTTAGCTGTTTATATTATTGATGTTACATGTAAACAGTTAGCTTTGGAGGGCATTCCTCAGTGGCTTAAGCGCTGAATTGGTAATACCAAAGTTCTTGCACTGTAGTTTCAAATCTCCAGCAGCCAATTCGTTCCTTCATTCTTCTGACACAGGCTGAGCACTGTTCGTTTTGCTCTGTGCAAGTTGTGGACCCTGTTTCATGGACATTGTTATATTAGTCTGGTCATGTTCTTTTTGTTGCAGCCATCACATCAGTAGCTCTGAGTGTGTTAAGTGATGTTTGTCATCAGTCACAGGTGACATGTTCTACTTTCACCCACCTCAAATCTGTGCTGAATTTATTGTTATAAGGATTAGTTTAAAATGTTAATTAAATATATTAATATTTTCAGTACTCATAAGAGTGACTGTGAAAGCGGCCTGCTCCCCAGATGTAGTCTGCACGCAGGTGAAAGAGAGAAGGGAAAACAGTCCCATAAAGACAGTGTAGCCAAGGAAGAGGGTAATGGGTTAATTCCCCCTACTCCCCTAAATTCTCATCAATGGCAGAATAGATCTGGAAGAGTCAATGGGTTTGTTCCAGTTCCCTGAGGATCTCAGTGGAAGACAGGGCTGCCTGAGTGGTGCCAAGAGCCAGGTTTGGCTTGTGAACCTCAATTTAGGCAGTTATGTTATGCGGAGATCCTTTAACGTTCGTGGAAGCCCTGACTTTGTTTCCTAATAACTTTTTTTGTGATCCGCACTGTGCTGAGGTTTGGCCTCCCCTGTGCTAACATTAATGATACTCGAGTACTTTAAAAGGAAGGATTGTGCTCTGGTATCTTTGGCCCAAGTTTAGACTTTCCCCATCTCCCAGGCTCTTTGTTTGCTAGGTGGCTGGCAGGGTTGCCTGCAGAAATAGCTGTGTTTTCTGGTTCTGGACATATGTAACTTTTGGAAGCGCTCTGAAGGAAGCAGTATAAGGTGAGCAGCTGTGGGGTGTAATGACATAATGGAGTGATGAGCAGAGGTGGGTTCTGCAAAGCTTTTGACTAACAAAGTTTGGTGCCAGAGCAATGAAATGTTCTGTTTGTAAGGTGAAGGACCACTGTCTGCCCCTTATGCTTCTGCTGGAGCAAAACTGGATTCTGATAAATTCAGTATATGTAACCAAGTCAGGTGGAATGAGTAACTTACATTGCTTATATGGGTACAAAACTTCGAGCTGCTATCATGGGCCCTCTGGCCTGCTGAGTGCCATTTGGTTAGGGTGGACATGGGCATCATTTAACATCTTTGCTCCTCTTGACCGTGAGACATTTTCTGAGCCAAACTCAAGAAAACCCCTGGAAGCTGCATAAAAGCTATTCCTAATGAAAAGTTCAACAAGTTAATTTGTAAATGTATGCCCATATAGGAGCCTTTTCAGTCCTAGCTCTCCAACCAAGTCACTTGCCTCCTTTGAAGCCTTTCAAGCTTTGAATACATTTAATGAAAGTCTCCTGCATTCTGAAACTGTTTAACAGTGTTTCCACCACCAGAGTTTCTGTAGGTAGCAACCAGATCAACAGTTTGTCTGCCAGGACTTGACATACTCTCCAAGGCTAACCCATGGGCTCCTTAACTTCCGTGACTATTACAGCAGGTCCTCTGATAGAGCCCTTGCACCCCCTCCAGTACTCAGATTGA